TGAGAAGCCAGCGACAAACAGCTTGAGCTATGGCCTAGTTGTTATATAGTATAATGTGAAGCCAGCGTCAGTGGGAATTGCAGGTTGTAACATCAAACAGCTCGCATATCCCTCTCTAACTGCTGGGCTGCATAGCAAAGCAGGATCCATTACATTTACGTATATGTGTGTGTTCTGTACTCTAGTTCAGTAATTGTTATGGCCCTTTGGTGGCACTGCACCTGCGAAATATTCAACGATTCAATTTCACTGCCGAGCGAGCAATGTGAGTGAATAGCTCGGCTCACTGATCAGGGAAGTCTGTCTACCGAGCCACACGGATTGGCTGTTTCATATGAAGTTTCTTCTGGGCTACATGAAAATATCTCAAGATGGTATTAGAACAACACTCATTTAATTTCAGATTTGATATTCATTCAGTGAAGTGACTAGCAACAGGCAGGATGACCGGGCTCGATTCTAGGCAAGGACAGGAATTATTCTCTTCTCCATCTGGCGCTCAACCAGCCTCCTATCTAGTGAACTCTGGGGCCTTTACACTGGGGTGAAGCAGCCGAAACGTGAAGCTGATCACCCTCACATCTCATGGCTCTCTTGTTCTAACCTCTCTTGTTCCTAAATCCCGTATGTCTTTTAAAGTATGTACCCAACTGTGAACGTGAGCAGGAATAGCTCAGTCAGTATAGAGACTGGCTATGGGCTGGACGACCGAGGGGTCGGAGTTCAAGTCCCGGTGGGATCAAGAATTCTCTCTTCTCCACGTCGTCCAGACCGGCTCTGGAGTCCACCCAACCCCTTATCCAATGGGTACCGGGAGCTCTTTCCACGAGGGTAAAGCGCCCGGGCCGTGGAGCTGACCACTCACCACCAACTAGTGGCGAAGTCAAGAAAATGTGGATCTATACACCCACTCCCCCATACGCCTTCATGGCGTAGTGCTAAATTAGTTAAGCACAGGGACAACTTTACCTTTTTTTACCTTTTTACCCGACTGTGNCAGCGGAGGATACCTTCACGCCCCCTGTCGCTGCGGCGTAACAGTGAACAGAACTCTTCATTTTTCATATTTCAATCCGGATTAACTGTAATCGGATTAGCGAGGGCTTACTGTATATACAAAATGATTGTAGTAATGTAAATAGGAATAAAATATAAAAACAAATTGTAAATGCTTAAGAGGAATATTGAAACATATTTTAACATACGACTATAATGAGCCAGCATAATCCTTAAATGTCCTTAAATAAAGCACTATATTTTATATCGTGCAGTTAGTGTGAGAACGGCATATGTCTTAAATGTTTACTCCAGTGTCCATGTTTAAAGAATTCATTGTCATACGTTGCTAAATTTACAAGATATAAACAAAATAACAGGTGCAAATTAAGATTATATCCTAATTTTATTCATAATGTTCACGCCTGTCTTTGGGGCCTGTTTGGTATTGTTAAGGTTGATGATTTGAAGTGCTGTATGTGATAGTTAATTGTGTGAGGTGGCATCCAGAACTTTCCAGTTGTGTGATATTTGTGGCAAAGGAGTTTGTGTATATTCGTTATTAATATCGTGGCATATCTGCTGAAAGTCAGAACTGTGAAGCTAGCAGAGACGGCCGTTGCTAGGAACGGCTCTACAAACACGCCCGTTGTTAGGCAGTGGCCCAGCAACAGATTCACATGCAGAAGAAGAATGGTTGGAAGTGGTGTTTTCTATGCGGTCCGTGCCAAGGCGCTGTAATGAGGACTTTGAGTTGGTGGATATGGAGTGCAGTCTGTGAGCCGTAAGAACGTCAGGAATAGTCCTTGTTGGAAGACTGTAACCAGGCAACACCTAGTTGAGTATGAGATAGCTGTCAACCAGTGAGGACAGAAGCTGCTGAGCGCGGAAGCTGAGGAGTCAATGCCAGGCAGGGCCTAGTGAAGACCGAGTAGACATAGTGCATGCTACAGAGAATAGTGAAGTGTGGGAGCTAGTAAAATTTATTGTTTCCTGTAATTCCAAGTTGTAAGTATGCAATAAATATGATTACCAATCCAAACTTGGTCTATAGTCACTCAGTCACATGACATTATATTTCAGTATTAACAAACTATGATTATTATCTATGTATTCTCTTTAAAAAACTATTTGGTCAACTACAGCAAAGGTCCCAAACTACGGCCTGTGGCCCACATCCGGCCCGCGATGTGATTTTATCCGGCCTGCGAAAGAATTGTGCAGAAATGCGCCAATTGAACTAATTTTCCAATGAGTACTGGTAAAGAAAATACTTGTTCATAGACTTCAAATTCATTAATTAAGATTGTGTTTAAAATATATTGATATTCCATAATATGTTAATATTAATATTATTCACAATTTTAGATCTGAAAGAAAAATTTTGGAAGCTATTTGCTGATTTGGATGCCAGTGCTCAGGAAATTAGATTGTTTCAAAATCCGTTTGACTGTGATGCTGCAGATGTCCCAAGTCAAATTCAAATGGAAATTATTGAACTTCAGGAAAATTATCATATTAAAGACAAATACAAGGAAGGAAATTCGATCGAATTTCATAAATTTCTGAACTCTGAGCAATTTCCAGATTTAAAGAAATTTTCTTGTAAATTTATCTCCATTTTTGGACTACATATATGTGTGAACAAACTTTTTCCCAAATGAAGTAGATCAAGTCATTAAATAATAAGTCATTTGTCGGGGGTATTTTTTGTGATTTAGAAAAGGCCTTCGATTGTGTCAACCATGGCATACTATTGAAGAAATTGGAATTTTATGGAATTGTAGGCAGTGCTAATACACTAATGAAATCATATCTTAAAGACAGGTATCAACGTGTCATTGTTAAAGATAATTTAGCACAAGGAAATGCTTCCTCGAATTGGGGCAAGATTAAATATGGTGTTCCGCAGGGATCAGTACTCGGTCCACTGCTTTTTCTGCTTTACATAAACGACCTGCCTAAAGTGGTAAATACATTTTCTCAACCTATTCTTTTTGCTGATGACACTAGTGTTATTGTTAATAATACTAATTGTATAAATTTTAAAAAAGACCTTATCTTCTCATTTGATCAATTAAATAAATGGTTTAATACCAATCTGTTAGCATTAAATTTTGATAAAACTCAATACCTACAATTTAAAATGATGAATAGTTTAACTATTCCAATAAACATCAGTTATAACAATAAATGTATCGGTAATAACACAGAGACAAAATTCTTAAGTATTACTATTGATGACTNGGGGGACCTCTTCTTATAGTGGCAGTATATTTAGACTGCAAAAAAGGGTAATAAGCATTATCACTAATTCCAGAAAGAAAGACTCATGTAGAGAACTGTTTAAGCATTTGGACATATTACCATTATATTCCCAATTCATATTTTCATTATTAACTTTTGTATCAGATAATAGAGAGTTATTTAAAACTAATACAGATTTGCATAATATAAATACCAGAAGCAGAAATAATTTTCATTTCCCACAACCAAGATTGTCTATCTATCAAAAAGGTGTTTATTACATGGGCATTAAGACTTTTAATCAGCTTCCATCCTATTTGAAAGGCATCATAGACAAGAAGAAACTGTTTAAATTTTCATTAAAAAGGTACTACTAGAAAATTCCTTTTACGCATTGCAGGAGTTTTTAAACAATAAATGAAATGGGATATTCTTTTCCCTTTGGTATTTGTGATACTATATACTTATCACAGTCACTGTAATTCTATTTTGCTTCTTCTTACTTTTATTTTAAATTTTAGGTTTTTATTAAACTAATTAGAAAGGACCAGTAATCAATGTTACTAAATGTAAAATGTTTTATAGTGCTCTTGCTGGCTCTTACTTAATTTACTTTTATGCTAGTCATATACATTAGTATTTAGTGACTGATTTATTTTTCAATTCACAATGTATTATGTTGAGGTGTGCAATTGTATGACTGACACTTTAATATTCAAAGCATGTGTAATATATTCTTTAAGTATTTGGTGTATTGTATATCTGTGACTGGTTCTATATCAGACTGGCGACATTTGTAGCCTGTTCTTGATTGATGGAATATTACAATAAACTGAAACTGAAGCTGAAAGTCGAAATACAGGGCAAATTTATCTGATGAACATTTAAAGTTGCTACTTGTGATTAGCATTTCAAAATTTGAACCTCAATTTAATCAGATTTTAAGAATGCAAAAAGAGTTCCATCATTCACATTAATTGTTTTATTATAATTTGTGATGAAAATATGAGCATTTGCTACTACTGTCCGTTGTCATTAATATACGATAATTTATTCTCACGTACTTTGTATTTAGTTTATGAAATTCTGTGCTTTCAATAAAACTCATATACCTAGAGTTATTAATTTCTCATTTTATCCGGCCCGTTGAAAGTGCTGAATTACCTAATGTGGCCCGCGTTTCAAAGTTTGGAGACCCCTGAACTACTGGAACATTCCTTAAAGCTCTTAATTTAGTCTTGGACAATCTTCTGAGTTTATGAGCATTGCATTTTGGAAATTGGTTACATTTCCATGTTTAGGTAGTTTGGGAGTAGTTCTACCAAGGGTCTGAGCAGAATAGGTTTTCTTTCACATCCTGTTCGTCTGAAAATGGAAATGTAACTAATTTCCGAAACATATTGGTCTTAGGAAACTTGTGCAATTGACACAGTTCAAAATAATAGCTTTAAACAGCGTATCACACCATCATCAAAAATATGGAATACTATTCTACGTATTTCAGTTCTTGGTGTCAGAGTACTTCAGCTCCTCTTTCCTTCATCAGAGACAGTGGCATGCATTTGACAAATATTCCAGTGACTACTGTGATTGTTTATTACTGGTTTTCAGTATGAGGTTCTTGAAGTGACAGTTGTAGAGAAACTGTTCTAGAACTCCTAGTTTAAGTCACAGATTGAAAGAACTGAGCATCATATTGATATGAATGACATTGTTATCAACAGTAGTGAATAATGGCAAATTTATTTTTGTTTCAGGAAACCACACCAGATGAAGGCTACAGCTGAGACCAAGAAGAAAAAGAAAAAGAAGGCAGACTCAAGCAGCTCAGATGACTCAAGTAGCTCCAGCAGTAGCAGCAGCAGCAGTAGCAGTGACAGTGATGATTCCAGCTCATCTTCCAACCCTAGTGGCTCATCTGATTGCAGCAGCAGTTCTAGCTCCAGTAGCGAAGGCACTTCTTCTTCAAGCAGTGATTCATCTGATTCATCAACTTCAAGTGATTCATCTTCATCTGATTCGTCAGAGGGTGATTCAAAGAAGAGAAAAAAGAAAAAGCATCATCCTTCAAGTGGTAATTCTAAGGAAAAGGATTCAAGCCATAAAGGAGGAAATATTAATCAAAATGTAAATCCTTGCATTGGAAATGCGCATGAGGTGGGTGCTGCTTCACATGCTTCTGTGGGACCTACGGCAGAAGGCAGTGCATACTCAGATGATGATGTTGATGATGAAGAGTCTTGTGAGGACTCCCCACCCATGACTTCAGTGCTGAGTGCAGTGGTGAAAGTCCCACAGAAAACTGCTTTGCACAGTAATATTGACGATGGTGTTATGATGGCCCACATAGACAGTGGTGAGCACAAAAACAGCGGCAGTAAAAGTAAAAAACATCACCACAAACAAAATAGGTAGCAGGGAATAGACAAATATCATGAGATTCTTGTTGGTTGAACATGACTAATTACACATCATATTTCCTTAACCCATGTGTGGGAATGTCGAGTGAGACTTGTGACTAGCAATAGCAGTCCATACTTATTAATAACAATAATAACAGTTTTCATCTATCCCTGGTGTTTTATTTTAACTTAATTCTGAGATGGTAGGGAGGTAGCCTCTCTGTTCATTTAACTTGTTCATTTAGCTTGTGGCAATTGTTTACTGTAGATGTATAATTTCTTTGAGTTTCTATCCTTTAATTTACAAGAAAATGGTACATCAAAAAGAGATTGAAAGATTGCAGATTGTGCAGAATGAAAGAGATCACTCCATGCACAGCAGCAGACCATATACTTGCAAATTCACATGCAAAGAATTAATTATGAACTGCATTTTATTGTTGTAGGCTGTGTAATATGGAAAAAGAGAAAGAAGTTTGATAGCAAGAGCAACCTTTTATAATCAATGCCTTAATGGGAGTAAAAATCTTTCCCGTCTTACTGCAAGATTCATGCATAATATACAAAGTAAGAACTTCTAAAATATCTGCTTTGTTGAAAGACAGCAGCACATATGAATTCATTAAGCAACATTATCAAAGGTTGATTTTGTGACGTATGTCACTTGGTATAGCAGTTGGTTACCACATGCACACAGCAGTTAAGAACAGTAATGAAAATATAAAATTTCAAGAAAGTTGTAAAAGTATTTAGATTTTAAAACAAGATAGTTTTTCAGTCATAAACCTTTGATTTAAAAGTAAAGATCTACTTTGTTGCAAAATCATGATTCCAGAAGGACTTGCACTGAAATTAATTACCATTAAAATACCTTTTAGACATATGAAATAACATAAGGGGACTATATTACTTTCCTAAATGAAATAAATTTGAAAATACTGTATAATTATGAAAATTAGACTACTGAACGAGTATTTATAGACTTTTTTTTCTGTAACTCTAATAGAGTGTTGGGGTTAGACGTCTTGATGGATTGTAGTTGAGGACACTACGGGCATGACATCCATATGGCATCTGACTTAATATTAGCTTTCTTGAAATAATCAAGAATATTCTTTAACTATTAAGACTTGAGGGTTTCAGGTTGGCGATTTGTGTTGTGGTCTTCTGGCTTATGACACCATATGTCTGGTAAGTGGTACCAATGTTTTGGGTCTACCCTGAAAATGAAGGCAGTCTTTTCCTTTGAAACATTGGTACCCACTAACAGCCTGCACATATATATGGGATATAATGTCATGTAGTCTGTTGAAAGTCAGCTGATGTTTCGAAGGAACATCTGTTGATGTTCAGTGGACTACATGGCGCTATATCCCACAAGATAGTACTTTTCATAACCATTGCTGTGAGAACCTCCAATCCTACAGACTTTACATTGTCATAACCCAGAATACCACAATATGAATTCATTGTATGTTATTCCTAAAGATCCTAAACACATCTCCGTGTCCCACAATATAAATGTATGGATTTTGATACATATTTTGAGTATTGATTGCATAATCGTCTTGAACTATGTGCACTTTCACACAGGATGTTGGTCTTGAAAAATTCTGTTTCCAGTTTGCTTATATCCTCTGCTTCTTATGAACATATTTATTGTCATACTGTCGTGACATTGTTTTCACCTGACAGAACAAAATCACTTTCACTTTAATATTCACAGAATGATGTCATAATCTAGCTAATAGTGAATGATTATTCTAATAACAACAGTGGCAGTGGCAGCAATGATGATAGTTCCACAGAAGCATTTCTTGTACTTTTACTTTTGGTGCACAATATTGATATAGTCCAAGCAGTAATTATGGGAATAAAAAGTCTTATTTGAATGCCTTCATTTCTTATTAAAGTTAATATGACATACCACTCAGTCCAGACAAGTCAGTGTGATCACTGGTTCCTTTTCATAAAAATGACTTGTTGATACAGAACCCAACTTTCCCAGTAGACCTTGCCTCTCTTTTCTCATTGTGAGGAATATCTTTGATTGAGATATTTTCTCAGAATGTAGATGTGGTATGACAGGGAATGACTCAGGATTATCAGACCCAGAGGTGGTACAGTAGATTGTTCACGGAATCATCACTTTCAGAATTCAATTCTAGAACATAAATCTTAGTTGAGCTAAACGGTGGAAATTATTATGAAAATGCAACCAAGAATGTTTTTATAATGAATAATATGAAACTTGAATGCTTTTGAAGAGGACAGATTCTGATCAAGATGTTACATAAATGAAACAAAAAAGAAGTCACTTTCATAGTTCTTCAGACAGTGGGTGAAAATACATCACTGAAGTAGAAAGGCAGCAGCAATTGAAACATGTTTAAGCCATAGAAGAAATGTATAAACCTTGCAGAAGCAGTAAAAGCATAAAATCTTTTACTCTGTCATATCACAATTATTTGGTACAAATCTTCCAGCTGTGTTGCCAAATGCAAAAAATGTTCAGATATATAAATATTATAATTATCATACTACTTTTTAATGTATGAGTGTATAAGGGGTGGGCCTTTTTGGCCCTTGCACTTCGCTCTACAGTGATCTGTTGTGCTTTCCCTTTTGGTTATCCCCTCAGCAATCCTGCTTGAATGTGGGGGCGTCGAAATAGCCACTTGGTTCCATAAAGTATTGACCCAAGTGACATAATCTTAAATAAGCTAAGGCCTCACATTCACACAGGATGTGTGTGGCTGTTTCATTTTCTTCTTGACACCTCTCACAAGTTGGACTATTACTTAGTCCCAGTTTGAAGAGGTGTCCTTTAAGGTGACAGTGTCCTGTAAGTAGTCCCACCACCCATCGTAGCTGGTTCCTGTTTAACTTCAACATTTCCTCTGCTCTTTTAGCAGAGGGTCCTCATATGAGTCCCTTTGCTTGCCTGAGTCCAGTCAAGGATCCCCAGTATTTCTTGTGATTCATATTTGTCCAGTCCGTGATTGCCTTTCTGGCAACTCCTGTAGAGATACCACAGGCTGGTTCAGGTTTTTTAATGTAAATAAGCAAAATCTCATGAGTGGCCTAGGATAAATTTCTCACAATTCAAGCTTTCTATCCAGAATGTCCATAAAATCATGCCAGTGGACACCACCAATGTTTCTTTCATGAACAGTGATATTAAACTATCACATAACTATATCACTATAACATCACTATAACATTGTGAGCAACACACCATTTTTGCAGAAAATTCAATTAAAATTGAATGCAGTGTGGCAACATGGTATGGATATTCCTTAATGACCATTGAGACAAAAAGTTTCTTGATAAAATTTCAACCAAGGCATACTTTTCATGAATCTAGTGTGGCAACACAGTTTGTTTGCCATAATCACTCTTTCTATGAAAATCATTGTGACAGTTTTGTGAAGGAACAACTTTTAACTCAGTGTTCATCAGTGAATCACACGGTGGGTCCATAGGCATGAATTTCCAGACATTTCATATATGATTCTTCATCATTAAAAATTGTGTGACATAGCCATTAATAAGGAAAAGATGGTATTTACCTGATAAAACTTGCCATGGAGTGGGTTATAAGTCATCATGTATGGTAACATTCTGGCAACATTAAAATTATTTGGCTACTCTCATGTAATATACAATCTTCGATATATGTCTTGGTATTTAACATGTAACAAATATGGCAACATAGGTAGTACTTTGGGTAATATGGTGGTACTTTACAATAAAACTGTTTTTTGAATTATCCTAATTTGTAAAACTGTATAAACTGTGCTTTTTTATATTTTGAATGACATGGTTTATTATTGAAGCAGCTTACATTCAAAATCATAATGTTATGTGTATTTAATAATATATTAATTGTTCTTTGCTGTCAGTGGTTTGTAATAGTCATGACAGCACATTTGTCAATTCCTTTTTATTGTACAATGAAGGTGGTGGGACTGATATAATGTTTGTGTTCAAAATTATATTTTTTACTTAATTTTAACATAGTGTTGTTGGTGTTGATTCTGTTCTTGGATTGTTACACCATGTAGTGTTGGTGTTGGTGGTTTGCTGACATCCTGACCCTGAAAATGGAAGGAGCTTGAACCTCTGAAACATTGGCAAAATGCCGCACAGCTACATGGTGTAATAACCCAAGAACAGAATTAACACCAATAAATAATATTTGTGAAATCAGAAATCAGCAAGTTAACCTAGTGTTTACAAGGATCTTACCACTGGAGACATGAGTGAGAAAACTGTCATTACAAATGTTATGTTCACTCCCTGTGTTGTAAACAGCGAAGGTGAAATAAAAGCTGTAAAGTGTGCCACCTTTGTAAATCAGGTACCTGCAACTTTAGGAAACTAGGCTTCTGCAGCTTGGCTGTTTGTGTAGCATGAATCTGCTGCTATCCTGTGATTTTATTCTCAAAGTTCATGAAAATATCACAAAATTTTCAGACCATGCAACAAAAACTGTCATTGGTTCCAAAATACTAAAAACAGTTTTATAAATGTTGTTGCATAACATATTTAGATTCCTGCAAATTAATGATCGACAGAAATTAATTTTCATTTAACAAAAATAAACACGGAATTGTTGCTGAGACATCACACATACTTTCGCATATACTGTTGGTCTTGATTATGCTGTCTTGGAAATAGAATCGACTGTTGTACTGTAGCCTATTATTGATCCCTGATTATGCAAGCTAGGACACATACATGTTGCATAACTATTTGGGACCATAATGTGCATACCATTATTATTCTGAAGATGCAGTTTTGTTTAGGAAACGGTCCTCGTGAGTTATTGAAATTCAATAAAAATCATCACAGCAGTTTTTGAGAAAATCACCATTATGTTTGTTTGGACCCATATGGAAGGCCCACATTTTTGGAACTAGAATGTTTATATTCAGCAGACCCCACCCTATGGTGGGTAAACTATTAAATACCAAATATGAATAAAATTGATCCAGCCATTCTGGTGTGTGAGAAGGGCATAGCCATACAGACAGATGGCATTCCAAAGCCCCCCTTTTCATATTTAGCGGTGCTGAAGACACAAACCCACCAAAGTCTCGACATCGATTTCTTCATTTTTGCCGTCGCAGTACTTNGTGTGGGGGGGGGGCTCGGCTTTTCGCACATGTCACAATATATTACGTTTTCATATTCAGGGGTGCTTCAAACTTGCAAATCTGCCAATATCTTTGGATAGATTTTTGTCATGATCATGGTATGTTCTCATATATTTGTGTACTATGTATATGAGGAGTATGCATATATGCATTTGTAAGATGTGCCACCTTGTTTGTCATTACCATGCCAGGCCAG